CAGTTCAAGTGGCAATGGGATACACAGTGAATCCTCAGGTTTCAGTTCTGTATTCAAGTGATGGACAAAAGAAGTGCCAGTACATGAAGTGACTTGTGCGCTCTTCTGCTTCTTTTGTTAAAAACCAAACCAAAACAAACAGACAAGCTTTAGAAATGCTGTTCTACGAGTACCAAAGCCAGTTTTTAAAGTTAGGAAATTCTAGACCTAGATCCTCTTTGTAACTTCTCTAATTCCATACACGTATATATATACAGTCTTCAGCTATGTGATCTTGCACTATTTTTATCACCTGATTCTTCTGCATCCCATGCACGGAGCATAGATCCTCTGAGAATGAATAAGAACTTTGGAGGAGAAAGGTCTGTGGCCTGTGTTGTGTAGCAACCCTGATTCTTTTGTTGTGAAAGTTAAAAGTATAAATATAAAAGCCTACAAGTTATATAACCATTTTTAGAAGTTTCATAATAAAGTTGAAAAACTGGCTCATGACAAAAACAAATGGATTATCATCTTCTGATTCCATAACCTAGAAATGCAGAATTGTGTGATCTATATTCCACCCTAATAATTAAATCACCTTCTCAACAAAGCAGTTTATATGAGATAATACAAAAAACATAAGCAGCTATTAATTTGATTTCTTTAGGATCTAATTTTAGGATCTGGTTATCACAGAAGAAGGAAGGTATGGTTCAAATATGGATAACACCTCAGAAAGGCCACATGATCAGTTGTGGAAATACTTGAAGGTGTGAGAGCTCACAGGGTAGACTAAAGCACAGGAAGGTATCTTGATTCTCCTCTTCTTGTAAGTTCAGGTACCAAGATGAAAGCTGTAAACAGGAAGCTCCATTTACTTAGAAACCAGGGACCAGAATTCTCTCCTAAGACTAGAAAAAGTTACAGCAGTACATGAAATAGTCAAGCAGCATATTTTTATGACAGTTTTATCTACATTTTCTAAAATGGACAAAATATTTTCTCATTAAATTAGAAAGCTGCATTGGGAATGTTGCTCATCCTGATAGGTTTCAAATTCGTAACTTTCTACAGCAGCATGCCAACCACAAGATTGTAGGTTGCTAGGAGAAAAGGAAGAAGACTTGGAAGTGGAGGCTAATGGGCAAAAGCATCAAAATGCAGGATTTGTGGGCTCAGAGCAGAAAAATACAAAAGAAATGCTTATACAAAAGCTTTGATCATATAGTTTAACCATGCACATTTTTATGTTCCTGATTCTACACTGATCACAGTGATTTAATTTAAATGAATAGTTTTGACTACAGACATGCAAACTAAATTTCTCAGTTAATGTTTGAATTAGAAAATTATTCTCTCACTTATTAACCTTTTGGATTCCCATTAATACTGAATTTTTTACTTCCCATTGACAAAACTTGACAGAAACACATAAAATACCTTCCTCATTACTTTTCTAGTGACTCAAAATTTGAGCATGAAACTCTGTTGTGTGAGGAAGGCACAGTATTCAGTCCTTTTGCTTCTTTCTTTACAGTACACTATTAGAAATTATCGAATGGTGGGAGGATTTGCCATCTTCTTTCAGAAGCAGTATTTTTGAATTCTTGTATGTTTTATGAAAGACTTCTGCATTGTCAGTGCTTGCTTTACGTGGGTTAGGCATATCTGGCATATTCTTCTTGGAAGTGTCTCTTAAACCAAATGTTAATTGAATTCTCCTCTCCTCTCCACTCCTCTCGCACACAACCAGAGGAGTCTGGGACTGGTTTGCAGATGGGCTCATCATTTATGGGTGCAACTGAGAACAGGGAAAGTAGTGGGAGAAAAGTGCTATATGTTCTGAAACCAATCAATTCAATTTTTTTTTAACTTTTATCTCTCTTTCTGGCTTGCCCCTCCTCTGTAGAATAGGGTTGTTGTAAAAATAAACCTGTTACTAGTTTGTGAGGAACATATTGAGTGTAGTGGTGAACAGTGCCAAGGGCTCATGAGAAATTACATCTTCCTAGGATTTGAATAGTGTGAGGTAAGGAAAACATGCTACCACCCATTTAGGAAGGAGGGGCTAAAATACTAACTCTTCTCCTATTAAGTGAACCCCATTCACGTTGAGGGTTGATTAACAAGTCACCTGAAAAGAGCCATTGTAAGCCTGTAAAATCTCCATTATAAACTTTGAGGCTTTGATGAATGCATCACAAATCTTTGCACTGGTCTTTTCCAAGCATTTTGAGGCTGATTTGTAAATTTTAATAAAAATTCGTATTATACATTTTTTTTCCTACCGGTTTTGTCTCAGGAAATGAAGATCAAAAAACGAATCTTTAAATCCCCACTGCATCTATTGACAATTTTGTCATGCCAGCTCTAAACCAATTTGATATGCATGTTTCCAAGCAATTTCAAGCAATCAGACCATGTTCTAGCACTAATTGTTAACTGTAAAACATTTTTTTCTTTTTACAGATACAATACAGAAAGTAGAACAATTAGATAAGTACTTTATAACATGCTCTATCTAACCCTTCAGTCTTCTCAATGCCAGTAGGACTATCCACGTTTATTCCTTACTTATGCATAGACAAACTGTACAATTGTAATGACAGGATGTTCTTCAGAAACATGCAGAAAAACCCAAATTAGCAAAGTAGACTGTATTTATTATTACACAAGCATATTCTCTCATTAAATAAATCTCACAATATCTAACAGAACATTAAAACCAAGAATTCAAGATTATCCAGCTTTGTGTTTAGCTTAGATGTAGAAACATCTGAAAAACAAATCCAGCTGAGCTGAAAAAGGATACCAGGACAAAATTCATGTACCCAGCTGAGGAGACTAAATGAGAAAAAAAATTAATACAAAGAAACTAACAAATAAAAACGCCAAACAAGAATCCAACCAACACTATTTTGGAGATACAATCATACTAAGTAGGCACTAAAAATAAAAAACAAAAAGCAATTTTCACTTCTACATATATGCCAATAGCAGAAAAAACATTTATAAAAAGACTTATGTCTACAGAATGAGTGAGACATAACTTTCCAGGGCATTAGAAGATTGTTGGATCAAAGAACTTTCAAGCACAGAACTGTCATTTTTGCAGCACTTGACCACCTCTTGACATAACATACAAAGTTCCTAGAGGGAAATGAAAGGTTCTTTAATAAGAAAGAGAAAGTCAAGTCTTAGACTCTAAAACTATCTTAAACATTTTCATACCTCAAAAGGTGGCATTTTCATCAATAATGAAATCACATCTCCTGAAGCAATTATTTTAAATCTGAACAAATTTGAGCATATTTCTTCAACAGGATTACGAGCTACTGATGACTAGATGTGTTGTTTCAGTAACAATGAATTAAGAACATGAAATGGATTGTGAAAATCGAGAGCAGTAATCAGATATATAGTGTCACAGAGTACATACATTCTATCAAGTAAAATCTTATGGACAAATCAAGTGGTGCCACTCAGTAAATTTCGGTTAGTATGCAGATCTCTACAGATCTCAGATCAGTGACACACCTAAATGAAAAGTCCACAGAATGAAATTATATTTTTAATAGTTTTGAACCTCTCCCATTCCCTCTTAAAAAACCTTGAAGAGATAATTTTAGGGTTGGTGTATTACCTGTCTTTGTAGTGTATCTGATAATTTGAATTGAATCCTAGGATAAGCACCCTCTTGTTGCTCAGAACAACTTCCAGTGTTCATGAAAACTTCAGTATTGCTTTTGCTTTAAAAATATACCGTAACTCATTAGCAGCTATTTCACAAGTTTATATTACGTAGCTCCTATGAAATAAACTATGCTAACAGACAAAACAATTCAAGGAGTGAACATATGCTTTAGAGCTCTCTGAAAAGGTGTAACATACTCAAAGTAACACACCCATTTGTTTATCTACAGCTGTACTAATCCAAACATAAGCACAGTGCTATCCCTTCACGTCATAAAATATTTAATACTATATATTTAACTTCTAATATGAAAATAAGAACAACAAAACAAATACTTTATTTTATTTCTTTTCATATTTAGAAGCTGAACAGCACATTTCTCTCCATAGGAAAAAAAAAAAAAACAAATAAAAATAAAAATCAAGGGAAATGAAAATGAAGTAATCTTAACTGTGGGGAGGCAGGAGCAAGCAGAGTTAAAGTAATGACTCATTTTATGCTTAGGACTATCTATATCAGAGTTTTTCTAAAAGCTCTCTGTCAGCTACATTTCCTTCTTCAAAAGATTTTAATTTCTTTTTCAGCTGGGCATGAGGAGGGCAGGGAAGGGGAAGGAAAAGCAATTCAACATTAACGCGTTTGTATGAAATGCAAGAATCTGAATGTGTCTTTCTTGCTCTTACATTCTCTCATGTGTCACTCAGTTGATGACTCATAAAATTCTTTCAAGTATTTTTCTCTGAGGTAGGCTGTAACACCGCCGAGTTTCAAGAAAGTGGACGCTTTTACTTCCGAGCTTCCACCTGTCATCCCAGTACCCAGAACTACACCACCTCCCGCTAGCGTTTTAATAAACTTCTGAGAAAGTTGGGGAGCGACGGTCCCCAGCGCGGAGCGCCGGCTTTGAGAGGAGCCTGTTCTCGGGCAGGGGCAGCCCAGGTGCAGGGACGGAGGCGTGGACAGGGACAGGGACAGGGACAGGGACAGGGACAGGGACAGGGGCAGCCGCAGGCCAGGAGCAGGGGCACGGCCATGGGCAGGCCAAGGGCAGCATCCCTGGTCCGCGGCACCTTGACCGTGAGCTGGCCGGTCTCTCCCGGGGCCCTGGGCAGCCCTCCAGCCGCCCTTCCCTCCGCCTCCAAACCCCGCCAGTTCAAACTGTAGGACTCGTCCCGCTCCCAGACCCGCACCCTCCCGCACCAAGGCCAGCACACCGGCCCGGCTGCGCCCCCGCCCCGCCACCGCCCCGGGGCCGCACAGCCCCGCGATGAGCCCCGCGATGCCCCGCGGACCGGGCGCGCAGGAGGCGCCGGAGCTGCCCTACCTGTGCCCGCCTCCGTCACCTGTTGCCCGGCTGCCTCCATCGGCGCAGCCCCCCGGCGCCTCCACCCGCTCCGCCGGCGCCAGGGGCTTCTCGGGCTCGCGGGCCACCTCCATCCCGCCGGGCACCGCCTCCTCCTCCTCCTCCTCCAGGGACTCCACGTAGAAGACGGTGCGGGGCGGCGGCGGTCCCGGGCCGTGCCCAGCGGCCGGCCGGCCGCCGGCGGGCAGCAGCGTCCCGTTGGGCGCGCTGGCCGTGGTGGCCGCCGAGGAGGAGGCGGAGGAGGCGGATTTCTTCCAGAAGACGCCGTTGCCTCTCTCCTGGCTCTTCAGCAGGCGGCTCTGGCTCGGTCCCCAGTGCTCGAAGCTGCTGTCGGGCGGCAGGCAGCCTCCCCCCGCCGGGCCGCCCGCCGGCGAGGGGTGGCTGAACAGTTTCCAGCGGAGGCGCAGGATGTGCTTCACGTCGAAGTCTTTCCTGCCGGAGCCGGACATGGTGCCGCGGCGGGCGGGGGACGGGCGCGGGCTGAGGCGGCACTCACGGCGGCCAAGCAGGGCCCGGCGGCGGCAGCGGCGGCAGCGGCGGCTCCTCCGGGCAGCGCTGGGCTTGTAGGGCGAGGGGTGGCAGCCGCCGGGCGGAGAGAGATGCGCGCACACCCCAGTGCGGAGAGAGAGGGAGGATGGATGGAGCGATGCACAGAGCCAAGAGGAGGTAGAGACACCCAGCAGGAAAGGGAGAAAGACAGAGGGCGAGATGCCCAGAGCTGACGAGGACTGCACGGTGATCAGTGGAAAGGGGAGGAGAGAGAAGCAGAATTGAGAGACATCTCTCAGGGGAGACGGACACTTGCAAGGGAAGAGCGGGTGAGGGAGGCTGCTAGGACGCGCTAATCTGATTAACGGGGGAGAGAGCTAGAGCTCGGAGAGGAGCGGCGGCGGCAGCATCCGCAGCGGGAGGCAGGTGGCACCTCCTCAGTCTCTTAGAGCTCCGTGACCGAGTGCAGGCGGAGAGGAAAAAGTCACCTGGAAGCCTCTCTCCACCTCCCGCCTTCCCATCCCGTTTCTCTGGGGAGTCCCATGCCTGCCGTTATCTGGGATGGCAAAGCCTGAGAGCTGGCACAGGAAGAAATCGGGGCTCCTTTATATGCACTGTACGTAGGAGGGGAAAAAAAATCCCGCCCGTGAGGCTGTCAAGGTCCTCAGTATACAATTTTCTGTCTATCTCGGCGCCTCTCACCAAGCCGCCCCCTCCCTTGCATGTGACGCAGATGTGCTCTGGGGCCGTCAGTGAGAGACAGAGGGAAAGGGAGATGCTGCAAGCTTCGTCGTGCAAGTAAGTCGGCAGGTCACCAACTGCCCCTCACAGCCTCCTCCTCTTGTCCCTCCAGTGCCGGTCCACTCACCTTGGTATTTTGGTTCTGAGACAGCTGTATATTACTGGGAGCAAAATAAAGTACAACAGCAAATGTATCAGCAGCAGTAAACACAAAAATGTGAATAATAGGAGTACTGACTTAATAGACTGCATGGAGACTGGGTGAGGTTGCAGGTTAACAATGTATTCTGCAGGCTCCATTCATTAGCCTGTTGGCTCAGTGTTGCTCTACCAGTGGAAAACATTGGCTGGAGGTACAGTGTGTCAAACAGAAATAGCACGACACATCTGCTTCTTACCTTTCATACCTGCTCTTAATGCAGTCTGACAGTGCTAAACCCAAGGGAGATTCCTTTCACAACATAAGAGATCTGCTTAGGAACATCTGCCCACTTGGGAGGGGTGTCACAGAGTACACTGCATCAGGACATAATTACAGAATTAAAAGCTTTATGGTGAAATGTAGGAGAGGGATATGGCAGCAAAATTGCATATTGTCATCTGGCTCATAAACCTCACACATGAGAAGTTGGTGGCAATAAGATGATACACAGAACACCTGCAATTCACCTGTACCTTACTAAGTAATCTTTTAGGAGCAGATTTATCCCTAGGAAAATGATGAAACCTATTTTCAATCAGGAACCTTTCCATTGGCCAGCTTTACCCATGCACTCATGAGCTCTCAAAAGTTTGTTGTTCTAACTCTGTGAAATCAAGAAATAAGATTGAAGGAGTTATTTCCCTCAAGCTGTATTGTTTTAACTCCTAATTCATAAAGTATTATAGCTTGAAAATTCCTCCAGGGAAGCACAAAAATCAAACACAAATTAAAAATTTTATTACTGTTATATTTACTTGATGACTGAAGTATATTACTGTTTTGTTTAGTTTGTCAGTGGAGTAGTGCTTCTGGATAAAAACCAATATTAGGGTTTGTGTTTAACACTGATAAAGTCTTGGATTTAACAGTACCAGAATTCAGGGCACAAAGTCCTACTTTCAAGGGAAGAAAAATCGCCACTGTGCATTTTAAATATTGATCTGTGCCACAACAGCTGGACTGAAAACTCCCTGGTGCCTCACCTTTTTTCTCAGTTTTCAGTGATAAAAAAAAGACAAAAACTATTCTAAATCAAACAGAAGACACAGTTCATTTTTATCCAGACATTGATCTGAGTATGTGCTGCTTAAGAGAGCACTGGGAAGAAATGCCTAGAAATCTTCATCTAGAATAGGACAGATGAAACTTCAGCAATTTCTGAGAGTCTAGAAATGCATCACTTATGATTAAATATATGAAATCATCTATAGGGTATACTGGCTACTTGCTGTCTAGTTACATGCTCTAAAAGATGGGATATTTTCATATAAAATAGTTTTAATCAAGTAATATATAGATAGAATGCTATCTCTTCTGTGTTTAATACCTCTTAACTGATTAGGCCTATTCACATATTCTGATTTGAGGAGAATTGCATCATTTCTTGCCATGTTATAAATCTTAGTAATTTTGAAATCCGCATTAATATTTAAATTGATAATTTGATGTGAACCATTGATAAGTTAGATATTCTATCTTTACTTCACCTAAATAGATAAATATAAAAGACAGTACATTCCAAAAAGCTATATTTTCTAAATATGCTTCAGAAGTCACTCAATGAATATATATTATACTGCAACCCAAGAAAGTGATTTAGCTTTTTTATCACCTGTCCATGTAGTACAAGCTATCAAGCAATTATAAGGAAAAAAGGTAGAAAATGCTTTAGATTATTGTTATTCATGTTTTTATTTCAATTATATCAATAACTGAAATTAAGTCTTGGATATTTCTAATAATTAAAATCTGGGCTCTTCAATGTATCATGCATAGGCATTGACATATTTAACGTTACTTGAACCTTTCATATTTTGGTACATAAATAATTTTTTTGCAGTAAGAGATGCATTAATTTGGCATGTATGGCAGCTTTTTTACCTGCATGAAGATGTATGAACACTTGCATATCATAAAATGAAATCTGGAAAACTGTCATGATTGTCTTAGTTCATATCATGATCACAATTATTTTGTCAATTTACAGAAAACCAGAGCTATCTCCCAAAAAAAGCTATATTGAAAAAGCAGTCATTGTCAGTATTTATAGTTAATTATTAAATTTCTGAGCATGAAGTAGAAGAATTAAACAGGTTGGTTTAGTTAGGTTTTCACAGAATCTTATCTTCATATTTCCCAGTGAATGCTTTTGACATATGCTGGGGAGGCAAAGAACAAATTCTGGATTATCACATGAGAGAAAAACAAAATACATTTGAGTTTCAGTTGAAACATCTGGTACATAAAAATATTAACTTAACTCTGTAATTTGTCTAGGCTTTCTTCTCCATCCAGAAGAAGAAAAAATAGTTCTCCTACTGGAGTTCTAGGGACCTTACTCATAGGAATTACATCAAAATAATTAGCTTACTAGTCAAATATGTCTTAGTCTACTGATATGAGATAGACATAGACATATGAACAGAACTATGAAATTACACTTGCTTTTTAGGTTGTCAAAGGGAAACATTTTTATGTCTTGCAGCATTCCATCCGTATCTTATGGGTTCCATGAAATATAGCCAAAAAAATAATGATCACAGGTAAACTTTCCAGTCTGTCAGTTGCACACTGTGTATCACATTGTATTTTTGTTTATTAAACAGCATTTCTCAACTTCCACCACTGATGTAGTTTCCCTGGATTATTCACTGCCACTCAAATCTTGAATAACTTTACAGACTTTGCTTGAAAGTATTCAAGGCTCTTTTTTTCTTTATCTATTAGTCAGGCAAACAGATGAAAGTGGTTAATCTTTATGTTCCTGTTATGAGTCAGATTCCTGACACTTTCTCTTTGTGTTTTTGCCTTTCTAATGCTCTTCAAATGAAATAAATTCACATAGTCATGTCCCTAAGGAAGTCTCATGCTCATGTTTTATAGGAAAATTGGCCTAGGGATATATATCCTTTTAATAAATCTTTCAAGTAGTAAAAAGCACTTCCAAAGAAAAAAAGCTTGAAGCAGGTATCCAAATGAGTAAGGTTTTATTAACCCTCTTTTTTCCTTCTTTCTGTTGCAAAGGTTTGGAGTACTGTTTATTTTCAGGCACATGATTTATGTTGAGCTATTTGCATGTTGTATCCCAGGGAGAACTGGTGGATTAAAACTGAAGTTGAGTTTCAGTTGGTTATTGATTGATAAAACAAGCAACAGAGGAGCCATCATGCAAAGAAACCCCTTAGGGTTAAGAGTAGTCTTAGTTTATGTGAGTCTCTGCATTACATAAAGTCAAAAGATACAGCAAGTGAGTCTGAGAGTGATGAGCTTATATGTGTACTGGGGAATGGTAGTTACTAATAAGAGAAGGGATATATCTCTCAGCAAACTATAAGGATAAGGCATAATTTTGTTACTGAATTTATCCTGTCACATGATTTAATCCAGAAGACACTACATTTTAATGACAATAAGCACCAAACAAACAAACAAACAAACAAAAAACCAAAAAAAAGGCAAAAATAAAAAAGAGAGCACTGTGCTTTGGGTAAGGATGATACTAGAATGAATAGTTTTACAACAATTCTCACTTTAATGTGGGAGTTCTCACACGAATGAATGAACATGCACTTCGGCTATAAAGATACTTATTTGGTGGGTGGTTAATTACACATTCAGAAGCTAGAAGTATTAAAAAGATGCTGTGAAACAGAAATACAGAATACTCAAGCTAAAGAAAGTGGAGAAAGAAATTCATGGGATGGGAGATCCATTGAGAGATCTATTACCCTGTTCTTCTAAGATCTTCTAAGCCTTCTGATGTTTACATTCTTGTAATGCACTTTCTCATGTGATTTTCTCTAAATAATTATAGTTTTGCATTCTTTTCTGAAAGAGGAGAAATTTGATGGACTATTGGTTTGTCCAGTGTCATTGGAGAGGTGACACTCTCACCCTCCAATCCTTTTTAAAATCTGTAAATGTTGGAGTCAGAAATTAAACGTCCTTCTTTTTACCTTGGAGATTCCAGTGTCCATGTTGTTTTATTTCATGTCCTATAGCAACAGAGATCAAAACTCAGTGCAGAAAATGTTAGTGTGCTAAGTGATTCAAGCAAATAAGTAGTTCTATAGAATTATTATTTAAACTCTTGGTGTCTATAAAGCCTTTGAACAATTTTTATGATATGTAGATATATTCTGAATCTATTTTGGTAAGTAAACTGAGAAACCCTGGGAATAGATGGTAGTTGGGAGAAATTAAACTCTTATGTTGTTTATAATGCATACACATAATGCCATGCTATTCCTCTGAGTCAAGTTACTGAGTTGATTTTCCTCCCATAATAGTATGCAAAGTCATATTTAAAATACTATAGATATGCCTACACTTATTTACTATCATTGTTTTCTAATGGCAATAAAGAAATAACAAAACCAGACAAAAAGCAAACCAGAGCTGATTCATTTGTCAGTACTTATGAATGTTTTTTTGTAGTGAGTTTTCAACTGAGATTGAAATTTTGAGAATGATTTTGCCTTCAATAAGTTAAACAGTCAAATGGTGTGATTTCTCAGAATTAAAAGTGAGCTAGCGCAGCACGGGCTAGGTTTCTGAAAGTGTGATGACACGACCAACGGCACTTGTTTCAGGTTTTTAAAATATTTCTTCACAGTTGTTTATGAGTGTCTCCATAGTAATGCCAGATTAAAAAATGATATATGAATTACCCCTAGTGGTGACTTGAACAAATACATTTTATTTGGCATTGCAGGAGCTTAGAAGAGCAGTTGCTTATCTTATATAAGCTTGAGGGACAGCAAATTCTTAATCCATTTCACCAGGATCACAAGCAGTTGTATAAACACACCCTAAAGCAGTTTTTAAATGGTCAGAGAATTACATTTAAGAAGTGCAAATGCTACAGGATTCGTTGTGGGTAGATTCACAAGTAAACTAAGGCTAGAGAAAATGAAATTATGACTGTAATTATTTTCAAAAAGTAGGGAAGTTAAAGAATATTAAAGTTCTTAAATTCCTAAATCATTTCCCACAGTTCCTCTGGTTGTAGCAGTTGTCAGTTCTCTTGTGAAATATTTTTTACCCACAGTTCCCAAGATGCCTATTAATCACCCTTATTTGAAGAAAATGTCATGTCTTCTGTCCTAAGTTATGGTCAAGAGAAACAGCTGAACTCCATCTACTGCAGGTTTGGCAGAGCACACACCTCTCTGCTCCTATGCCACACTCCGTCCTTAGACCTTAGCATTTGGAGGCCATCCATACCTCTTGCTGATGCACAGAGACAATATTACTATATATTTTAAGTGCTAGAATATATTATAAAAATCACTATGTTGTTTTGTTTTGATCTAAAACTAACACTTCTAGTGGTGTTTTTATGAATGACATCAATCTCTGGTGATGCAAAGAAAATAGGGTGTTTTTTCTTTTCTAGATTCAATAATAGTTGCTGTCATTTTTCTATGATTCAGAATCTTCTTAGAACCAGTTTGCTTTCATGTTCTGTTCAAAAAATATGCAGTTTCCTGCTGATCTTTTGTTCAATGTTTATTTTTAATCTGAATTGAAAATTTTCAGATATATGTTTGCAAATCACAGAAATAGATACACTAATGGTTTGCAACATAGTCTCTATAAAAAGGGAACTGCTAAAATTTTGTAACTACACATGTAGTAGTAAATTATATTGGACTTAATTAAATTAAACAGAGCCAGTGAAACTGGCATAAGATGGTCAATACTGATAAGGCATCACAGTTTTAAATTGGTTTTGGTTGTATAAACCAGTGTCTTTCAACCTCATTCAGAAGTTAGCAAAATTCAGGAACATACTCAGTAGGCACTTTGAATAGAGCTAGAATTTTGGAGGAAAGGAGCATTTAGCCATATGCAGGTAAATGGTGCCATGCCATTTGACCTGGGTCCAGTGGCTGAACAGAGCAGAGAACAGGCACAGGGGCATTTTGTTTACTGTTCTGGACATGACCTTACAATGGTTATATTTCAGCTTACAGGTTCTTTTGTAGTTAAAAAAAATTATGATTTTGGTGTAATTTTACCATTGAAAACCTTTTATGAAATATTTTGTAAGGATCTTTCATGAACAGGTTGTTTTAAAAGAAGCTTTTGACATTTTTTCAATAAGTCTGACTTATGATTTTATTTGTTATTTTATAGGAAAATATAACATACACACACTAACAGAAGAAGCATTTCTCTATTTTCCCCATTCTCATGGTATATAAGATCCCAAACAGAGGTGTATTCTTTCACTTGACTTATTATTTTGCATCAAACTTTTAGTACCTTATCATTCCTGTATTTTCTCATCTCAGTAGACAGATTCCCAGACTCTGAAAAATTTTATATTTCCAGATTAGTAAATTAATGGCTTTTTCACCACGATATTAAACTTTCTAGTTGCAGTAGAGATATTTGTTGCTTGTATCAAGTGCCTTGTTGCCACATGAATAAGAGTAGTTTAAAGTTTTATGTTGCCTTAGAGATTTTTATCTGTTGTTTTCAAGGAATATTGGATGTCTGGACATCTTCTGACTTGATGATCTTTCTGGGAATCCCAACCAGAAAATACACATGTCGTTATGCTCCTGAGGACTTCTGACTGCCATTTTAATTTTAAAGTAACTTTAATGACAATGAAATCTTTATTTACAATGCATTTCATTCTTTCACATCTCCTATCACAATAAGATAGTGCATTAAAAAGAAGCGAGCAAGAAGTTACACTTTTTTTTCAGAAATATATTATTTCTTTAAAAGAATTCTTCAGCACTGAATATAAGGAAATAAAATAAACTCTTGTCACTGCTGTCCTTCCTTTTGAAAAGTAAAGATGGGGCTTTGTCTATGATTATGTGTACAAATGGTCTTTTGATTGTTTACATTTAGTGCCTGACCAAATTGAAAAAACAAATATTTGAGAATGTTTTTTTTAATCTGCCTATTCACACTTTCATTTGAACTGTGTGTCCCAAAGTGTATACTGTTGGGGCTTTTTCCCTTGGAAAAAAATTGCTATTTGATTCAGATTAGAGTATTGTAATTGTTTGAACAACTTTATAGTTTTCCATCCAAATGTCATGACACTTACAGTAATAACTGTTAACATAACAATTCAATATCAAAAGTTCCTTGAAAATTCCTGGCTTTAGGTTCATAGTACAAAAGCAGAAAGATTTGATTCTATGGTTGAGGACATTCTAAATTTTTTTTACATTAGTTTCCATATAATAAGTTTCACATAATTATAATTATTTCTGTTTGCAGAATTTTTTTCCTATTGCGTTTTCTCTGATTTTACCTAACAAACTATGCCATATTTTTAATCCCTTGCTTGCTGATTTTTTGGAGGTACAATGTTGTGAGAACTTAAAGAATGCAGTTTCATTTCTCAAAACACTCTTAAAGAAGAAGGTTCCTGTAAGATATCAGGAACTTGAGATAAGCACAAGTGGCAAAACAGGAAGGCCTTAATTCCAACCTTCTAACAAAGGTGAAGACTTGCAAGTAGCACAGCAAGAGCGTGCAGACTTTGGGAACTTGAGATAGGATTTATTCAGACCAAAAAAAAAAAAAAATTATATGGTCACAAACTGTGGGGAAGGATACACATGCCAACCCAGGTTGTGGGAACTGCATCTTGGCCCTGTGGATACCTGTGGGACATGGAGTGTACAGAAGTGTTTTTGTACAGAGAATGACTCTGGGACTCCCCCACAGAAGACCAGGGTGAAGAAGGACTAGCAGGATGCCACAAAAAAAAAAAAATCTTTCTACTTAATCTCTCTCTTACTCTTCTTTTATCCCCTTCTCCTCTCAAATTTCCCCACCAAGTTGAGTGAATTATAACCAACAGATATTTTTCTGATTTTTAAAAAAAATGCTTTTAATGCAAAGTCAATCTTTTTTTCCATTTTATTCCAGTAGGTTTTAGCAGTTCCATAAGATTATGTATAAATTAAATTTAAATGTAAAACCAAGGCAAAACTTTGTTTGTAGCAGCACGTGTAAATAAGGACTGAAATATTTTTTCATTATTTTGTTCTAATCTGAGCTTGGCAGTTTGATTGCTACAGCATATAACAAATAACATGGCATAATTAACTAAGAAGGTCACTAATTAGGATACTGTGATGATCAGAACATATGTTACCTGTCCAGTAGAATTTATATGGGCAGTGCAAAGCACTGCTACCTAGAAAACCTACAATGAGAAAGCTTATTATTTCTGATAATCTAAAGAAAGGGACTGAAGAAAATACCAAGTAATAGAATAATTATGGTAAACTTTTGGGTAATTTTCTTATTTGCCCCAAATATTCATATGTGCAGTTTGACAGGATGTAGTTTTTAAGTGAGGACAAAGGCTATCTTTCCTATTCTTTTAAGCTAAAAATTTATTATTTTCAGCAAACATTCCATTTGCAGTTGTTTTGGAAGATAAACAACTTCAATTTCTCAACTCTCTTTGAATTTTAGTATGGTCTCCAAAGCCTAGACCATTCTGAAGTCTGAAAATTAAACAATGTACTCTATTTTCTGTTATAAAATGATAAATGTAATAAACAGTAGTTAAGGAAAGACAAATACATATGCAAACATGCACAACATTTTTTCGTGTACTACTGTGTGCAATGAATAACATCCAAGTACATTTTCCCAACCGTTTATATTTTTACCTTGCGGCAGATTTTCTTTACTGTAATTTTCTAGGCCATTTAAGAAAATAGTACAAGGCGCTATCTGAAATACCCTAATATTTCAAAAATACTAACGAGATGAGGTATCTGGTTGAATGAAATTTGTTAGGGCCTAATGTACTGGTCGACAGTAAACACCATTTGAAATTCAATATTTTTATACTAACATATTCTTCCTGAATGGATGGGACCCAGTTTGCTAGGGAAATTTTCCTTC